CGACTATCCATGTTTGCTGAAGATTTCTAGCGACACGAGGAGCATGTTGTCGACTATCCATGTTTGCTAAAGATATCTAGCGACACGAGGAGCATGTTGTCGACTATCATGTTTGCTGAAGATATCTAGCGACACGAGGAGCATGTTGTCGACTATCCATGTTTGCTGAAGATATCTAGTGACACGAGGAGCATGTTGTCGACTATCCATGTTTGCCGAAGATATCTAGTGACACGAGGAGCATGTTGTCGACTATCATGTTTGCTGAAGATATCTAGTGACACGAGGAGCATGTTGTTCGACTATCCATGTTTGCTGAAGATATCTAGTGACACGAGGAGCATGTTGTCGACTATCCATGTTTGCCGAAGATATCTAGTGACACGAGGAGCATGTTGTCGACTATCATGTTTGCTGAAGATATCTAGTGACACGAGGAGCACGTTGTCGACTATCATGTTTGCTGAAGATATCTAGTGACACGAGGAGCACGTTGTCGACTATCCATGTTTGCCGAAGATATCTAGTGACACGAGGAGCATGTTGTCGACTATCATGTTTGCTGAAGATATCTAGTGACACGAGGAGCATGTTGTCGACTATCATGTTTGCTGAAGATATCTAGTGACACGAGGAGCATGTTGTCGACTATCCATGTTTGCTGAAGATATCTAGTGACACGAGGAGCATGTTGTCGACTATCATGTTTGCTGAAGATATCTAGTGGCACGAGGAGCACGTTGTCGACTATCATGTTTGCTGAAGATATCTAGTGACACGAGGAGCATGTTGTCGACTATCATGTTTTGCTGAAGATATCTAGTGACACGAGGAGCATGTTGTCGACTATCATGTTTGCTGAAGATATCTAGTGGCACGAGGAGCACGTTGTCGACTATCATGTTTGCTGAAGATATCTAGTGACACGAGGAGCACGTTGTCGACTATCATGTTTGCTGAAGATATCTAGTGACACGAGGAGCACGTTGTCGACTATCATGTTTGCTGAAGATATCTAGTGACACGAGGAGCACGTTGTCGACTATCATGTTTGCTGAAGATATCTAGTGACACGAGGAGCACGTTGTCGACTATCATGTTTGCTGAAGATATCTAGTGGCACGAGGAGCATGTTGTCGACTATCCATGTTTGCTGAAGATTTCTAGCGACACGAGGAGCATGTTGTCGACTATCCATGTTTGCTGAAGATATCTAGCGACACGAGGAGCATGTTGTCGACTATCATGTTTGCTGAAGATATCTAGCGACACGAGGAGCATGTTGTCGACTATCCATGTTTGCTGAAGATATCTAGTGACACGAGGAGCATGTTGTCGACTATCCATGTTTGCCGAAGATATCTAGTGGCACGAGGCACATATCGTCGACTAACCGTGTTTGCTGAAAAATATTTGTGACACGAAACACATATAACCGTGTTTGCTGAACAATTTTTTTGACATAAGGCACATATTTTCGACTAACCGTGTTTGCTTAAAACTTTGTGAAACGAAGCACGTACTGTAGACTAGTCGTGTTTGCTGAAGATATCTATTGACACGAGGCACATATTTTAGAATGGTCCTGTGTGCCGACGAATTCTAGTGACAGTCATATATTGCAAATTAGCTATGTTTGCTGAAGAATTCTAGTGACACGAGTCACATACTGTAAATTGGCCGTGTTTGCTGGAGAATTCTAGTGACACGAGTCACATACTGTAAATTGGCCGTGTTTGCTGGAGAATTCTAGTGACACGAGTCACATACTGTAAATTAGCCATGTTTGCTGAAGAATTCTAGTGACACGAGTCACATATTGTAAATTAGCCGTGTTTGCTGAAGAATTCTAGTGACACGAGTCACATACTGTAAATTAGCTGTGTTTGCTGAAGATATCTATTGACACGAGGCACATATTTTAGAATGGTCCTGTGTGCCGAAGAATTCTAGTGACAGTCATATATTGCAAATTAGCTGTGTTTGCTGAAGAATTCTAGTGACACGAGTCACATATTGTAAATTAGCCGTGTTTGCTGAAGAATTCTAGTGACACGAGTCACATATTGTAAATTAGCCGTGTTTGCTGAAGAATTCTAGTGACACGAGTCACATATTGGAAAGACGTCTGGATGCGAACACCAGTAATATTTACGAGGCCAGAGAAATGTCCACAAAAGACGTGAGGAACTGTGGTTTCGTGGTTTCTCCATCAAGGTCAAGGGGCAGGAGAAAACAAGACACCTTATATGTCATAAGACCAACATTTGGAATACATGGTTGAGAAAAGAAGCCAAAGACTTGCTGTACCTTGATACATGGAGACCGAAATCTGTGGCGATTGGTGAGTTCCCTGAACACTTTCTGACGACTTTAACTGGCATGTTAGTAAACACGCTGACACACTGGTTGTCTAGGTTAGATGCCCTTATACTCGTTGGCAACTCGGTTGAACCTGTATTTGATATTTTTCCCTGTGCCGTCTGTAATGGGCCACCGGGAGAATCATTTATTTAATCTAACCCTGCCTTACCTTGCACAATCACTGACAAGAGAAAGTACACAGTAAAATATGCACGGGTCCTCGGTGTGTCTTAAAAAACACAAACAATGGTTATATATCAACAAGAGCCAACTACCCGCAACAGCAATGCCATGCAGATGATGTCAAATGCTAATGCACTGGAATCAGACGCCGGAAAACAAGAGAAACGGATGGCGAGGCTCCAGTGGCACTTTTATAATTCTACAGGAAACCGGTGGCTGTGACTGTAACGATGCAAGGGGTGTCACTCCAAGCCATGTTTATTATCTCCTCTTGGTTGTTTGTTCTCCGTAGAGTTGCGGAGCTGTTTAATTCCTTGTCGCCCTGTTGACTTCTCCGACGATGTCTGTTTATTCAGGGAATGCGGAGAGTTGCCTGCGCGTGTGTGCTGGCGAAATGTTTTGTGTTTAACCTAGAGTATTATCTAAACTACGTTCCGTAAAAGACTTGCTGATTGATGATGATTATCTAAAGCGAGCGAAGGAAAATAAGATGGTGCTCGTTTGTGCATGCTCAAGGCAAAGGACGCGGCAGGATTATACAGTGGTTGTGCATTAACATGCTACGGGAAGTAGCAATCGGTGAGAACGTGGGCGTGATCATGGTTAACAGAAGATTGCAAGCTATGAAAGATGCAATGCATTTGTCTGCACACTGGAAACGTTTCTTTTATCTGTTGTTGCCTCTAGTTCTTGTAGCACACCATGCCCAATACGACCGAAGGCGTGGGAAATGGGCTTTAACATGTTACTTGACATCACCTCCAGTTCTGGTGAAAGGACTTATCCCATCACATTGTTACTGGTGCTGATATCACTAGTGCAAACTGTGCGGTTGCAATTATCTAGACGTTGTTATTAGCATAGTATCGTTTTCTTCACGGGTGTATTTCTACAGAGAACCCAGGGTATCGTCGCCGGAGCTATTATTCGTGTGCTTTGTGCGACTGTGTCAACAGGCCGCTAGCAGTGTACTGAGAGAGACCGAACCGTATGGGAGAAGAGCTCGTGTAGCGAAGTAGATTCTGGATACGATGCTTTGCTCAACATTAAAAATCGTCACGTTAAACCAGCATCCCTGAAGGGGAGTTCTTTAGGTTGTAATTATGACCCAAATTTTCGGCACCATATAAAATGACTTAGCATTGCTCGCCACAAAGTAGCTATGAAAAAGACCCCTTTAGTGTTGATGCGATAGGAGACAGACCCAAACACTATCCTGACCGGCGACGAAGTCGTCTACCGGCTAGCCAGTGGGCGACCCGGTCGCAAATGTGATGGAAGTCGATGCTGTCGAATTTAACTTTTTTAATAATAGTCAAGCCAAGGTCACTGTTCACGTCATGGTGTATCGGCCAAGGAAGCTACTCACATTTGGATAGACCAGTAGGCTCACAATGGTTGATACGGTCAGTCACCATCGCATTGGTCACTTTTACTTCCCTTGTATCCATTTTAGAATGTGTCAGACTGGGAGCCAGGGTAATTTGGGGATTGAAAAAAAAGGAAGGGGGGGGGGGTGGTTTGGGGTTCGACTTGATAGTGATTAGAACCTAAGACTGGTAGTATCATACTTAGAACATCCTCTGTATAGTGAATTACAGGTGGGTAGAGGACGTCGAGGTCTGCCTTTACTGCTGTATAAAGATATGTGCAAACAGGACATGAATGATGCGGTTATTGAGATGGATTTGTGGAAAGCGAGTGAAAATCATTTAGGGAATATGGATCCAGGAGACAGGGATAACGTTGAATACCTGCCATTACAGCATTGCTCTGGAAATTGTATGTTCTAATTATGGAAGACTTGTGCTTAACACAGTCGAGACTTGCTAGCCATACGCACCGTTGACATGGCTTGTGATTCCTCCCATGCTTTCACACAGCACATTATAACGCTTCCGTCTCACTAGCGTAGTTGGCTAAACCGGTTGCGCGGTGACCGGGTGACGAACTCATTGTGATCCCGGGTTCACGCCCAGGGGTAGGCAGAAAAGCCACATTTTTCCCAGAATTACGGTATTTATCATGGAATCAAGGCCGAAGGGTTGCGATATCCATAGTACCGAGCCTAAGGGTTAAAACTCATGGCTTCTAGATTTAAAAAAAAAAAAAAAACACTTACCGTCTAGAACAGAGCTATTCTACTAAGTTGACTTAAGGGTCAAAATGTTGAACACGGGGGTTGTCCCGGCCACGTTCCCGAACCCCACCGTAAACAGATCATTAGCAGTATGTTTAACACAATACAATTGGCAGTGTTTCCGTGGGCCACTTGCTAGGCCTCGGAGAGCCGCCACTTGGTCCAGAAAGACGGAAAGGTGCCAGCAGCTGTTATTGCTGGAGATGTATTCAAGCTCTCACAGATGCTGCTACGGTACCGCTCTTCTTTTTTCCTGTGCTACCGTAACAGTTTAATGTAGTTACATATTAACCACATGTGATTGCCTTCCCAGGTCTACCGCGGCCGCCAGTATATGCAGCATACCCCGCCCCCGGCCAGTTTCCTCACCCGCTGTATTCTCCGGAGTTTACCAGCGCTTCCTGGTGAGTTCTCTCCTCCCCACCACCAAATGGTTGTCGTTGTTGTTGAGTCTTGTGACTTTGAAGCTATGCTACTTGAATTAGGAGGGTTGTTAGTTAAATCCTTTCTCTTGCTGTCAGATTGAATTGTCTGTAATTATTTAACGAAATCAATGTATAGATTTGACAGTAGCCACCGTGGTGTAGGCGTTAGATGCTCGCCTGCGGGCCGGAAGGTCATAGGTTCGGGTCTTGACCATACCGGACCTTTAAAAAAATACCTCAGCTGCCAGGTCAACCTAGCCTTGAACGCATACCAGATGCTAACCACATCACCCATCAAGTGTTGATTGGTCTATAAACTATGCCTCTGTGCCCAGTACGCCCAAATGCGTGGAGACGGTCCTTATAAAATAATTAACTATAGCCAGTGCTCTTTGCACTTGTAGCTGACAGTAATTAATAATTATAGCCAGTGCTGTCTGCAGTTGTAGCTGACAGTAATAAATAATTATAGCCAGTGCTGTCTACACTTGTAGCTGACAGTAATTAATAATTATAGCCAGTGCTGTCTGCGCTTGTAGCTGACAGTAATTAATAATTATAACCAGTGCTGTCTGCACTTGTAGCTGACAGTAATTATTCATTATAGCCAGTGCTGTCTGCACTTGTAGCTGACAGTAATTAATCATTATAGCCAGTGCTGTCTGCAGTTGTAGCTGACAGTAATAAATAATTATAGCCAGTGCTGTCTGCACTTGTAGCTGACAGTAATTAATAATTATAGCCAGTGCTGTCTGCGCTTGTAGCTGACAGTAATTAATAATTATAACCAGTGCTGTCTGCACTTGTAGCTGACAGTAATTATTCATTATAGCCAGTGCTGTCTGCACTTGTAGCTGACAGTAATTAATCATTATAGCCAGTGCTGTCTGCAGTTGTAGCTGACAGTAATAAATAATTATAGCCAGTGCTGTCTGCACTTGTAGCTGACAGTAATTAATCATTATAGCCAGTGCTGTCTGCAGTTGTAGCTGACAGTAATTAATAATTATAGCCAGTGCTGTCTGCACTTGTAGCTGACAGTAATTAATCATTATAGCCAGTGCTGTCTGCACTTGTAGCTGACAGTAATTCCATAATGTCTGCATAACCAGTGCTGTCTGCATAGCCAGTAGCTGACAGTAATAGCTCATTATAGCCAGTGCTGTCTGCACTTGTAGCTGACAGTAATTAATCATTATAGCCAGTGCTGTCTGAACTTGTAGCTGACAGTAATAAATAATTATAGCCAGTGCTGTCTGCGCTTGTAGCTGACATTAATTACAGCCAGCTACCTCTTTATATTTAATTACCACTGATGTTTTGTGTATAGTTTAATAATGTTAACTTGTAAAAACTAGTGCTTTTTGTGCATTTTTGTTTAGCTTTAAGTGATTATAGTTAATACTATAAGTATATTTTTAACGTTCAGTGGTTATCGTTAGTACTATCATTTTTAACTGTCAGTGATCATAGCTAGTACTATGATTATATTTTTTAACTGTCAAGTGATTATAATTAGTATTATGAGTATATTGTAAAACTGTCATTGATTGTAGTTAGTTCTATGAGTATATTTTTAACTATTTGTGATCTCTTCATGCATTTTCACTATCTATATTTACAGTTAGTGCTCAATTTAAAATGTTTCCCTTCAACAGTAATTTTACCTTGTGCTTTCTGTGTAATGTTTCAATATCCATAATTATAGTCATTGCTCTCAGTATGTTTCATTGTCTGTGAAAACAGCCAGTGCTTTCAGTATGTTTCATTGTCTTTGAAATCAGACAGTGCTCTCCGCATGTTTTGTTGTCTGTGAAAACAGACAGTGCTCTCAGGATGTTTCATTGTCTGTGAAAACAGACAGCGCTCTCAGCATGTTTCATTGTCTGTGAAAACAGACGCTGTCAGCTTGTTTCATTGTCTGTGGAAACAGTTAGTGCCCTCAGCAGATTTCATTGTCTGTGGAAACAGCCAGTGCTCTCAGCATATTATTTCATTGTCTGTGGAAACAGCCAGTGCTCTCAGCATATTTCATTGTCTGTGGAAACAGCCAGTGCTCTCAGCATATTTCATTGTCTGTGGAAACAGCCAGTGCTCTCAGCATATTTCATTCTCTGTGCAAACAGCCAGTGCTCTCAGCATGTTTCATTGTCTGTGGAAACAGCCAGTGCTCTCAGCATTTTTCATTTTCTGTGGAAACAGCCAGTGCTCTCAGCATATTTCATTGTGCAAACAGCAAGTGCTCTCAGCATGTTTCATTGTCTGTGTAAACAGCCAGTGCTCTTCAGTATGGTTCATTGTCTGTGTAAACAGCCATTACTGTGCTCTGAACTCAGTGTGTGTATGCACAATCACAAGTCTAGCTTATTGATGCTTGTAGTACAGCTTGTGAACAAGTAACTTTAAAATCAAATTGAGTCTCTGCAGGTGGGAGGCCTACAGAAGAATAGGTTGTATTTTGTGGAAACAATAACAAACACAGAGGTTCCCGAGTGACTGGATATAAAAAAGAATAGCTAATTAACATTGTTCATAAAAATCACACTGGAGGGAAAAGTTGACAGAAGAAGAGCAAAAAATAAACATAAACAAATGAGAGGTCAACATCAGGAGAGAGACACGCCTCAGTATACGAGAGTGTACAACCAAGACAGGTGAGGGAAAGAGAGAAAGTATGGCGAAGATCCATTGCAGCCAGCCTTCATTGTGGAAATGGCCCCTGACTGATTGAATGCAACTTGGCTTGAAAAGTTAGGGGATGTGAAACATGAAATGGTGCATGCCAACACCTCTCATTGGCTCTGACACTGAAGCATCCCTGGGGTTCAACGTTTACCCGATCTTCCGTTTTCTTGTGAAAAGCGTGTTGAGTATCAGTGGAGGAAATGTTGAGTCGTGTCAGGCCAGGTGCAGAAGTCGTCTGGAGGCACAGTGACTGCTGCTAGCATTAGCAGGTCACAGCGGAACAACCTGGGAGATGCACCACCACCACGCCTCCAACAGGCATCCAGCTAGGAAATGTTTTACCTATCTTCTTTCACCTGTTTTAGGCTCCTCACTCCGCACATGATTTAGGCTTACCTGTGTGTCTTAGACGAGACACTCCTCTCCTGCCATACCTTGACACTCTCTCACCTGTCCTGGACATGTCATTCCTCACAAACACACAGTAAAGCTGCAAGTTGATTACCAGAGCTTCATGAGAACTCCTTCACATGTGTAAAAGACACTCTTTGGTTTGTTGAATGACACTGCCAGCTGTGGCTTCATATCTCTTGTGCTTTTGTGGCTGAAACAGTTCTGAATTGTCTAGAAGCATGAAGAACAGTAAGTTTATATCACGTTTATTGAGGTGGCCAGTGTACAGATATAGGCTGTATGTGTACTCTAGGAAGAGACAACCAGTGTACAGATATAGGCTGTATGTTTACTCTAGGAAGAGACAACCAGTGTACAGATATAGGCTGTATGGTTAACTAGCCAGACAACCAGTGTATTTATAGGCTGTATGTTTACTCTAGGAAGAGACAACCAGTGTACAGATATAGGCTGTATGTTTACTCTAGGAAGAGACAACCAGTGTACAGATATAGGTTGTAGGTGTACTCTAGGAAGAGACAACTAGTGTACAGATATAGGCTGTATGTTTACTCTAGGAAGAGACAACTAGTGTACAGATATGGGTTGTAGGTGTACTCTAGGAAGAGACAACCAGTGTACAGATATAGGTTATAGGTGTACTCTAGGAAGAGACAACCAGTGTACAGATATAGGTTGTAGGTGTACTTTAGGAAGAGGACAACCAGTGTACAGATATAGCTCTGTACTTTATGAAGAGACAACCAGTGTTTCATTAGGTTGTAGGTGTACTTTAGGAAGACAACCAGTGTACAGATATAGGTTGTAGGTGTACTTTAGGAAGAGACAACCAGTGTACAGATATAGGTTGTAGGTGTACTCTAGGAAGAGACAACTAGTGTACAGATATAGGTTGTAGGTGTACTCTAGGAAGAGACAACCAGTGTACAGATATAGGTTGTATTGTGTACTCTGTGGAAACAGACAACTAGTGTACAGATATAGGTTGTAGGTGTACTCTGGAAAGACAGCCAGTGTACAGATATAGGTTGTAGGTGTACTCTAGGAAGAGACAACCAGTGTACAGATATAGGTTGTCGGTGTACTTTAGGAAGAGACAACTAGTGTACAGATATGGGGTGTAGGTGTACTCTAGGAAGAGACAACTAGTGTACAGATATGGGTTGTAGGTGTACTCTAGGAAGAGACAACCAGTGTACAGATATAGGTTGTAGGTGTACTTTAGGAAGAGACAACCAGTGTACAGATATAGGTTGTAGGTGTACTTTAGGAAGAGACAACCAGTGTACAGATATAGGTTGTAGGTGTACTTTAGGAAGAGACAACTAGTGTACAGATATAGGTTGTAGGTGTACTTTAGGAAGAGACAACCAGTGTACAGATATAGGTTGTAGGTGTACTTTAGGAAGAGACAACTAGTGTACAGATATAGGTTGTAGGTGTACTCTAGGAAGAGACAACCAGTGTACAGATATAGGTTGTAGGTGTACTTTAGGAAGAGACAACCAGTGTACAGATATGGGTTTGTAACTCTAGGAAGAGACAACAAGTGTACAGATAAGGTCACGTGTACTTTAGGAAGAGACAACTAGTGTACAGATATAGGTTGTAGGTGTACTCTAGGAAGAGACAACCAACAGAATAGGTTGTAGGTGTACTTTAGGAAGAGACAACTAGTGTACAGATATAGGTTGTAGGTGTACTCTAGGAAGAGACAACCAGTGTACAGATATAGGTTGTAGGTGTACTTTAGGAAGAGACAACTAGTGTACAGATATAGGTTGTAGGTGTACTCTAGGAAGAGACAACTAGTGTACAGATATGGGGTGTAGGTGTACTCTAGGAAGAGACAACCAGTGTACAGATATAGGTTGTAGGTGTACTCTAGAAAGAGACAAGTGTACAGATATAGGGTGTAGGTGTACTCTAGGAAGAGACAACTAGTGTACAGATATGGGGTGTAGGTGTACTCTAGGAAGAGACAACAAGTGTACAGATATAGGTTGTAGGTGTACTCTAGAAAGAGACAACTAGTCTACAGATATAGGGTGTAGGTGTACTCTAGGAAGAGACAACCAGTGTACAGATATAGGGTGTAGGTGTACTTTTACAACTAGTGTACAGATCTTCCGGTGTACTTTGGAAGAGACAACTAGTGTACAGATATAGGTTGTAGTGTACTCTAGGAAGAGACTAGTGTACAGATATGGGGTGTAGGTGTACTCTAGGAGACAGTGTACAGATATGGGGTGTAGGTGTACTCTAGGAAGAGACAACAAGTGTACTATGGGTTGTAGGTGTACTTCAGGTCAACTAGTGTACAGATATGGGTTGTAGGTGTACTCTAGGAAGAGACAACCAGTGTACCAGATATAGGTTGTAGGTGTACTTTAGGAAGAGACAACTAGTGTACAGATATGGGTTGTAGGTGTACTCTAGGAAGAGACAACTAGTCAGATATAGGTTGTAGGTGTACTCTGGAAGAGACAACTAGTGTACAGATATAGGTTGTAGGTGTACTTTAGGAAGAGACAACAGTGTACAGATATAGGTTTACCTAGGTGTACTCTAGAAGAGACAACTAGTGTACAGATATGGGGTGTAGGTGTACTCTAGGAAGAGACACTATGTACAGATATAGGTTGTAGGTGTACTCCTAGGAAGAGACAACTAGTGTACAGATAAAGGTTGTAGGTGTACTCTAGAAGAGACAACTAGTGTACAGATATATGTTGTAGATGTACTTTAGGAAGAGACAAACCAGTGTACAATATAGGTTGTAGGTGTACTCTAGGAAGAGACAACTAGTGTACAGATATAGGTTGTAGGTGTACTCTAGGAAGAGACAACCAGTGTACAGATATAGGGTGTAGGTGTACTTTAGGAAGAGACAACTAGTGTACAGATATAGGTTGTAGGTGTACTCTAGGAAGAGACTAGTGTACAGATATGGGGTGTAGGTGTACTCTAGGAAGAGACTAGTGTACAGATATGGGGTGTAGGTGTACTCTAGGAAGAGACAACAAGTGTACAGATATGGGTTGTAGGTGTACTTCAGGAAGAGACAACTAGTGTACAGATATGGGTTGTAGGTGTACTCTAGGAAGAGACAACCAGTGTATAGATATAGGTTGTAGGTGTACTTTAGGAAGAGACAACTAGTGTACAGATATGGGTTGTAGGTGTACTCTAGGAAGAGACAACTAGTGTACAGATATGGGTTGTAGGTGTACTCTAGGAAGAGACAACTAGTGTACAGATATGGGTTGTAGGTGTACTCTAGGAAGAGACAACCAGTGTACAGATATAGGTTGTAGGTGTACTCTAGGAAGAGACAACCAGTGTACAGATATGGGTTGTAGGTGTACTCTAGGAAGAGACAACCAGTGTACAGATATAGGTTGTAGGTGTACTCTAGGAAGAGACAACTAGTGTACAGATATAGGTTGTAGGTGTACTCTAGGAAGAGACAACTAGTGTACAGATATGGGTTGTAGGTGTACTCTAGGAAGAGACAACTAGTGTACAGATATGGGTTGTAGGTGTACTCTAGGAAGAGACAACTAGTGTACAGATATGGGTTGTAGGTGTACTCTAGGAAGAGACAACTAGTGTACAGATATGGGGTGTAGGTGTACTCTAGGAAGAGACAACTAGTGTACAGATATGGGTTGTAGGTGTACTCTAGGAAGAGACAACTAGTGTACAGATATGGGTTGTAGGTGTACTCTAGGAAGAGACAACTAGTGTACAGATATGGGTTGTAGGTGTACTCTAGGAAGAGACAACTAGTGTACAGATATGGGTTGTAGGTGTACTCTAGGAAGAGACAACTAGTGTACAGATATGGGTTGTAGGTGTACTCTAGGAAGAGACAACTAGTGTACAGATATGGGTTGTAGGTGTACTCTAGGAAGAGACAACTAGTGTACAGATATGGGGTGTAGGTGTACTCTAGGAAGAGACAACCAGTGTACAGATATAGGTTGTAGGTGTACTCTAGGAAGAGACAACCAGTGTACAGATATGGGTTGTAGGTGTACTCTAGGAAGAGACAACTAGTGTACAGATATAGGTTGTAGATGTACTTTAGGAAGAGACAACCAGTGTACAGATATAGGTTGTAGGTGTACTCTAGGAAGAGACAACTAGTGTACAGATATAGGTTGTAGGTGTACTCTAGGAAGAGACAACTAGTGTACAGATATGGGGTGTAGGTGTACTCTAGGAAGAGACAACTAGTGTACAGATATAGGTTGTAGATGTACTTTAGGAAGAGACAACCAGTGTACAGATATAGGTTGTAGGTGTACTCTAGGAAGAGACAACAAGTGTACAGATATAGGTTGTAGGTGTACTCTAGGAAGAGACAACTAGTGTACAGATATAGATTGTAGTTGTACTCTAGAAAGAGACAACAAGTGTACAGATATGGGGTGTAGGTGTACTCTAGGAAAAGACAATCTGTGTACAGATATAGGCTGTACATATACTCTATAGAAAGAGACAACCAGTGTACAGATATAGGTTGTAGTTGTACTCTATAGGAAGAGACAACCAGCGTACAGATATAGGTTGTAGGTGTACTCTAGGAAGAGACAACTACTTTACAGATATGGGTTGTACATGTAAGGAAAAAAGATACAGAGTAGAGAATAAAGATCGGGGGCAGAATTATCTTTTTCAAGCTTCTGTCAAACACAGTACAGTAGTGACCCTGCTATAGTGACCATGACTTCTCTAACTGTCTGAACAATGCTTACACTGAGCTAGCATATTTGATGACAGCCTTTACATTGGACACAGCTGATAAAGCTGTGCTGGATATTCACAAGCCAGAGGTGGAGACAGACCACTTTACTCTACCAGCAGTTTTAGAACTGTCATTGTAACAGTTACTACTGCCGTAATTATAATAGCGGACAATTATGACAGTAATCCCACTGTCCCTGATGATGTACCTGTGTGCCCAACAATGTGACTGGGCGTCACTGTGACTGGGCGTCACTGTGACTGGGTGTCACTGTAGATGGGCGTCATCGGCCCGGAACATGATAGGTGACATTTATCGTGGCTATGAAAGTGTCATCTCCCTTGTTGTATGGTGTTATTGTGTTTAGAGACAGTGAGGCATTAATGCTTACACTTTTAGCATTTACAGGGTTACCTCTATTTAACATTACTGTGGGAAAGGCGGACAAGCTGAAAGATCTTTACAAGGGACATAATCTGCAAAATAGGTCATATTCCATGGAAACAAAAACAGTCAGTCATATACACAGGTTCTGAAAAGATAACACAGAAAAGAGAGTTGCTGAAAGAAATAAACTAGAGACACCTAATATAATTCGGCCACATAAGCCTCTTTTTTAAAAACACCTCCTTGAAAGAGAAGTTAAAGGCAAGGCAAGTCAGTAAGAGGATGACAATGATATAAGTGGGAGGCCAGCACCAAAACATGGAGTAACAGCAATCTGAGAGAGTGTACTGCCAGAATAAGAGGCAGAGTATATTGAAGATCCATTGCAGCCAACATTTATTGTGGAGACATCATACAGTTGATGGAAACTACAGTGGAAGAGAGGCTTGTCACTTTCTTTTCTTGTTTATAAAAGTAGCAGGGTGAGTAGTGGGAGATGCTGCAGCGTGTTGAATTATTTGTAAGTGCTAATACAGACATCTAACCCTCGTGCAGATGATCAGGGTTCGAACCGCCAGGGGCAAAATTAAACACCCTAACCTGCACAGTCGGACAGTGAAACAGCACTACCCCTGCGGCCTTAAATCCTCTGGTTCACCTGTGCCATCCTAAATAAGGATAGTAGTGATAGTTATACATGTTTGAATGTATCAACATTAATATGCTTATTATTTTTGTGTGTTTCAGGCACAGATCTCATTACCCTATCACCTCAGGTGCCTTTGCGGGCTCTTTTCCGCCATCGTTAACATCTTTATCTTGTTATGGGCCTTCAGGGATCCTACCTCACCTCGGCCACCCAGGCATTCCACACCCGGCATCTTTAGGCCCGGGACCCAAGTCAGAACTCATGTCTCCCCAACTTTTGCAAGAGACTCACAGGTAGGTAGGCTTGCTTCTTGGGTTTTCACACTCATGTTTCATTGTCTTGTATACAGGTTTGTTTTTATAGTCGAATTGTCTACTATTTAACTTGTATATCATCATTGTTTGCATTTCTGATAGTTTTAATTTCCTGTCTGTTCCTCTTGTCTGTGCCTTCCTGAACACACACGCACCCCCCCCCCCCCCCCCCCCAAAATCATCTTGTGCCATTATGTCACATAGGGCTTGCAGTCTGTTCCTCACTTCCATTCTGTATTGAGCAATGCTTTCAGTATAATCCAGTCTAGCGTCTCTGGCCTCCCTTATCACTCTTCACTTTTGGGTTTCTTTTATGGGACCTCGCTTCCTCCTGCTTGATGATTCTATGCTCGTTTCTTCTCAGGTTGTGTCCAGTACAGTGCTGTGTTTTTATAACTCAGAAATTTCACGCATTTCTTCACTCCTCTTGAATTCATCCCATTTTATGTTCAGCATTTTCCTCAGCTATTTATTTTCAAATTTATGAAACATTTGTTTCATTCTCCAACTTTTACTGGCATATGTAAAAATTTAAGTAACAGTAGAACAGAAAATAAGTTAACTTGTTCTTAAAATTTTTAAAAATTTCAAAATATGACCTGTACAATTTACAACCTATACAAAATGGGAGAGGGAGGGAGGGAGGGGGGGGGGGGGGGGGGAGGATCATTTCATCATCTGTTTCTTGTCTTATAAATTTCATTGTAGAGTTTCACTTCCTTGCCTTTCCTTGTGTGTGTGTGTTTGTACCTGTGTAGCTTTTTCTTTTTCATTTTTTCAATGTTACTTTCATATCTGTTCCCTGTCATATATGTTGTTACTGTTTCCGCTTTAGATATTCTTACTTCCATGTCTGGATATGCTATATAAGCTTTTCTATTTTTGACTAATACACATTATGCATAAAGATGTATAAACCTAACATGCTTTTTAGATAGTATGCCATTGCTATTTTCAGAATGGTTTGATCTGTTTTCTGTGTAACGTGAAGTGGCTGTTTTGGCAGTGTTTATGTACAGTGTGATTTCATAAAATTAATTGACTTATTAAAAAAGATGCTGACAAAGATGAAATAACATTTCAACTGACCCTGCAGGCAGCTGAACTCATTGCACAGAGATGAAAATTCCAGCTGCAAGCCCTCCCACCACAGCCCAGGTGCCGGAGAAGACACCAGGAAAAGGCCCTATGTCAAGAAGCCCTTAAACGCCTTTATGTTGTTTATGAAAGAGATGAGGCCAAAGGTCATCTCTGAGTGTACATTGAAAGAGTCTGCAGCTATTAACCAGATTCTTGGCCGGAGGGTGAGTACCTATGTGCACTTGTTATTTTATTGTCATAGGGTGTCAATCGGTCAATCAATCAATCAGTCAGTCAATCAGCATATTCTTTACAGAACGTCACTTTTTTCACAGCACGTGAAAGTCTGTCTAGCCAATTCTCCAGCCCTGTGTGCTTTCATATCTGATGCGCCTTCAGCATCCTGTATCTATACTTTATGGAGGTCAGGCTCTACCTAGTTTTTGAGAAACTGCACCTTCCATCTCCATCCATCATGATGCTTGACATGTCTAGAATAACACAGGAGAGGATGCTGTTTATGAGCCAGTTCTCCTTGGTGTTCAGGTAATGCAGGATGTCAACGTTTTTCTTCTTCTGAATCCGCAGTATTTTAAGAATTGTTTTGCAGCATTTCAGTTCAAAAGTTCAAATTTTTTGTTTCTCCAAGGCCTGAGAGTGACTCATCTCTGAACACTTAGTAATATGTCACTGTTGTCTCCTGTGGCTCTGAAGAGGTGAACAGAGAGGAAGGATAAACAGATTCCTGTGATATTCAACAGTTGTAAATGGATTATTGCCTGTTTGAATTCTGTATCCAACCACATGAAGAGGGTCGCTGTTAGTGCCTGATGGGAGTTGTTGAGTACAACCTGTACCAGGTTCCTTCGATGTTGGTTTGAGGATTTGGGAGAGAGTTCCCCACTCTGGCTTTATGATCTTCTTTCCTCTAGCTGACACAATTTATATGACCAGGTCTGTTGTAAATTCTGACAACAGTTCAGGTTTGTCACGTTTACTACCGACAGATGATATCTGACGCCATAACAGATGACGGCTGAACGTGCAGGCACCCCTGATGACATAAATATTTACTGTATTTAAAGCTCCCTTTCCTTTAAGTTAGCCATCTTGGTGCAACAGCTAAATGCTTGTCTGCGGATCTGAAGGTGTGGTGTTCAGATCTGCATGGAGTCAAATTCTGCCATACATAACCTTGGCTCCCAGGCCGAGCCAGCCTTAAATGAGTATCAGTTGTGTGGCTTGAGTTAAGAGCTGTCACAGTATACCAGTTGTGTGGCTTGAGTTAAGAGCCGTCACAGTTTAGCAGTTGTGTGGCTTGAGTTAAGAGCCATCACAGTTTAGCAGTTGTGTGGCTTGAGTTAAGAGCTGTCACAGTTTAGCAGTTGTGTGGCTTGAGTTAAGAGCTGTCACAGTTTAGCAGTTGTGTGGCTTGAGTTAGGAGCTGTCACAGTTTAGCAGTTGTGTGGCTTGAGTTAAGAGCTGTCACATTATACCAGTTGTGTTGCTTGAGTTAAGAGCCATCACAGTTTACCAGTTGTGTGGCTTGAGTTAAGAGCTGTCACAGTATACCAATTGTGTGGCTTGAGTTAAAAGCTGTCACAGTATACCAGTTGTGTGGCTTGAGTTAAGAGCTGTCACAGTATACCAGTTGTGTGATTTGAGTTAAGAGCTGTCACAGTTAAGCAGTTGTGTGGCTTGAGTTAAGAGCTGTCACATTATACCAGTTGTGTTGCTTGAGTTAAGAGCCATCACAGTTTAGCAGTTGTGTGGCTTGAGTTAAGAGCTGTCTTAGTATACCAGTTGTGTGGCTTGAGTTAAGAGCTGTCACAGTATAGAAGTTGTGTGGCTTGAGTTAAGAGCTGTCACAGTTTAACAGTTGTGTGGCTTGAGTTAAGAGCTGTCACAGTATAGCAGTTGTGTGGCTTGAGTTAAGGGCTGTCACAGTATAGCAGTTGTGTGGCTTGAGTTAAGAGCTATCACAGTATAGCAGTTGTGTGGCTTGAGTTAAGAGCTATCACAGTTTAGCAGTTGTGTGGTTTGAGTTAAGAGCTGTCACAGTTAAGCAGTTGTGTGGCTTGAGTTAAGAGCTGTCACAGTATACCAGTTGTGTGGTTTGAGTTAAGAGCTGTCACAGTATACCAGTTGTGTAGCTTGAGTTAAGGGCTGTCACAGTATACCAGTTTTGTGGTTTGAGTTAAAAGCTGTCACAGTTTAGCAGTTGTGTGGCTTGAGTTAAGAGCTGTCACAGTATACCAGTTGTGTGGCTTGAGTTAAGAGCTGTCACAGTATAGCAGTTGTGTGGCTTGAGTTAAGAGCTGTCATAGTTTAGCAGTTGTGTGGCTTAAGTTAAGAGCTGTCATAGTTTAGCAGTTGTGTGGCTTGAGTTAAGAGCTGTCACAGTATAGCAGTTGTGTGGCTTGAGTTAAGAGCTGTCACAGTTAAGCAGTTGTGTGGTTTGAGTTAAGAGCTGTCACAGTTTAGCAGTTGTGTGGCTTGAGTTAAGAGCTGTCTTAGTATACCAGTTGTGTGGCTTGAGTTAAGAGCTGTCACAGTATAGCAGTTGTGTGGCTTGAGTTAAGAGCTGTCACAGTTTAGCAGTTGTGTGGCTTGAGTTAGGAGCTGTCACAGTATAGCAGTTGTGTGGCTTGAGTTAGGAGCTGTCACAGTATAGCAGTTGTGTGGCTTGAGTTAGGAGCTGTCACAGTATAGCAGTTGTGTGGCTTGCATGTAAGTGACTGTAATCATCACTTAGACTTTCTGTAGCAAAAATACATTATTTTTACTATTTATTATTACTTTTTGTTACAAATACCTCACTTGTGTTTATGTCTTGCTGAGCATATAACACTTGTTAAAAGTTTTAACATAACGAAAAGAATGCTGATTACATGCTTGTGCCACCCATAAACAAACTAACAAGTGAACGCTACCAGTTACTAGTTCTTTGATGTTAGCTGCATGCACATACTGTCAGAAATGGTTCAATGAGGTGGAAATTGTCATATGAAACCCTCTCCAGTGTAATCGTTACCTACTAGCGCCAACACATGTAAATTGATTATGCCGTGCCACTGCAGTTTATACAAAATTGACAGTTCATCAACTGTTGTATGCAGATCAAACATGATCATGTTCACTGATTGTGATGTTTCTCTCCACCTGTAGTGGCATGCCTTGGACAGGTCCGAGCAAGCTAAGTACTATGACATGGCCAGGAAAGAGAAGGAAGTCCACCTACAGCGCTATCCTGGCTGGAGTGCCAGGGATAATTACGCAGCTCACCAGAAAAAGAAGAAGCGGAAAAAGGATGGTCACAGCGGGAGCAGCGGATCCAGCTTGGGCGGGATGGAGTCTGGAGCGGGTATGAGTCCCATGAGTGGGTGTAGTGGAATGAGTGGGGGTAGTCCACTTGGAGCTGTGTCTGTGGATACAGAAAATCAGTCAGGTACGTTTTATGTGAATTCATTTCATATTTATCTTGTGCGTAGTATGTCAGCTGTTTTTCTGAGTATTGTTGGAGTCGTGTTGTAGGAGAGTTCTTGAGGAGATACATTCCCCGGGTGTTCTTGGAATATTGTTGTGGGAGTTGTTGAACAGATCTATTGTTTGAGTTGTGTTTTAGGAGTTGTGAATCATTCTCTCTTTGAATCTGAGTGATAATCCTTTGTGAGACTGAATTGTCATAATCATTATCATAATTATAATCATCATAAACCACTTCTGCCATAAAACGCCGTAGGGAGGGATAATTTGCGATCTAATGTCATGCAGTGAAGACACAAAGTGTCTTTAATTTTGTTGCTAATCCATATTTTTTTTGACTATCCTCATGCACTTGTAGCTGATCTTTTGAGAAAAATGACATTTATATGTGAACAAGGGTCGGCGGAGTGAAGTCTTTTCTTTACTAGGAGTAAAATGTTTGAAAATAGAAACAATCATAGAATGACTTGAGTTGAGTAAACCGCTTCTTGTGTTGAAAGCTTGTATTGTGGTGGGCATCATCATCATGTGGAAGGTCCTTACAAAATAGCACTGCATCATACATAAAATTCCTGAAAGAAATCCAGTCCCTTGTCAGCCGTCCCCACATCTGGTGCTTTCCTGTCTAAAGTTCTCTTATATCCTGGGCCCATCTTTGTACTGGTTGGCCTTTGCTCAATACCATGCCGCCAGCTACTAAAGGATGGCCAGTTCATTATAATGTTGTGTAAGATAGAAGTTTAGCCCTATAGTCTTCCAGCATGGGTTCAAGGGCCCCAGTTCAGGGCAAACAAGGTTTTGAACAACGGAACAGCATCATGGCACAGGGATGTAACCCACAAGTGCTCTGTTTTTCTTTTAACTCAAGTCTGAGTCTGAAACATCAAAGCACAATGGACAGGCTTTGTAGCACTGGCAAGGTTCCTGAATATTTTGGGTGGATTTTTAACACAAGTTTTGCCCGGGCAGTGCCATTAGGCCACTCTTTTTGATTTCCAACTGCTAAGGGATTTTTTAAAATGTGTGCAGCAATGCACACGGGCATCCGATCTCACTACCCAGAGACCAGGGAAAATTATTAAAAGTCTAGGTCCATGTGGAAAAATCCCAGCCCTTACCGGGGATGGAACCCAGAACCTCTAGCACGAGGCAAACACCATGCCTCGATACTACTCAGCCTTCCCCCTTAACCGACTAACATGTCATAAAATCCAACTGATTTTTTTAGTCGGAGTTCACCTCCCCAAGAGGCAAGGAACGAACAGTCTAGTCTGCGAAAAATTAAGCCACATCTGTAAAATAACTGTGCATACAAAACTCTGGAACAAGACTAAAGGGCTTACAGCCTGAAATGGAAGAACAACCAGAAGTTTCCACTGGAGTTTACAGTCACTAAAGACAGAGAAGAAGAAAAATGAGGCCTTTTTGAGTTTTCGAAATGTTATTTTTTGAAATTGATAACGAGCTTGCAATTGTCATGTTTAGGAGATAATCAGTATGTATTTTGCAGGCATGGTTTGTACACAATCTCATCTGTTAACACTGAAATTGTCTCTGCCAGGAGAGTGCCCCAATGACAGAAAATGCCGAGCTCGATACGGGGTAGACCAGCAGTCCAGATGGTGCAAGCCGTGCAGGTAATCAACTCCTTTCACTGATGGTCTCATTTAGCTGCTACACTCAGGCTCACATGTCTATAGTTTAACAGGGTTCACTGATGGTCTCAGCTACTACACTCAGGGTCACATGTCTATAGTTTAACAAGGGTTCACTGATGGTCTCAGTTAGCAGCTACACTCAGGCTCACATGTCTATAGTTTAACAAGGGTTCACTGATGGTCTCAGTTAGCAGCTACACTCAGGCTCACATGTCTATAGTTTAACAGGGTTCACTGATGGTCTCAGTTAGCAGCTACACTCAGGTTCACATGTGTATAGTTTAACAGGGTTCACTGATGGTCTCAGCTACTACACTCAGGGTCACATGTCTATAATTTAACACGGGTTCACTGATGGTCTCAGCTACTACACTCAGGGTCACATGTCTATAGTTTAACAAGGGTTCACTGATGGTCTCAGTTAGCAGCTACACTCAGGCTCACATGTCTATAGTTTAACAAGGGTTCACTGATGGTCTCAGTTAGCTTCTACACTCAGGCTCACATGTCTATAGTTTAACAGGGTTCACTGATGGTCTCAGTTAGCAGCTACACTCAGGTTCACATGTCTATAGTTTAACAGGGTTCACTGATGGTCTCATTTAGCTGCTACACTCAGGTTCACAGGTCTATAGTTTAACAGGGTTCACTGATGGTCTCAGTTAGCTTCTACACTCAGGTTCACATATCTATAGTTTAACAAGGGTTCACTGATGGTCTCAGCTGCCACACTCAGGGTCACATGTCTATAGTTTAACAAGGGTTCACTGATGGTCTCAGTTAGCTTCTACACTCAGGTTCACAAGTCTATAGTTTAACAGGGTTCACTGATGGTCTCAGTTAGCTGCTACACTCAGGGTCACATGTCTATAGTTTAACAAGGGTTCACTGATGGTCTCATTTAGCTGCTACACTCAGGTTCACATGTCTATAGTTTAACAAGGGTTCACTGATGGTCTCATTTAGCTGCTACACTCAGGCTCACATGTCTATAGTTTAACAAGGGTTCACTGATGGTCTCAGGGTCACATGTCTATAGTTTAACAGGGTTCACTGATGGTCTCATTTAGCTGCTACACTCAGGCTCACATGTCTATAGTTTAACAAGGGTTCACTGATGGTCTCAGTTAGCTGCTACACTCAGGCTCACATGTCTATAGTTTAACAAGGGTTCACTGATGGTCTCATTTAGCTGCTACTACACTCAGGTTCACATGTCTATAGTTTAACACGGGTTCACTGATGGTCTCAGTTAGCTGCTACACTCAGGCTCACATGTCTATAGTTTAACAAGGGTTCACTGATGGTCTCAGTTAGCTGCTACACTCAGGTTCACATGTCTATAGTTTAACAAGGGTTCACTGATGGTCTCAGTTAGCTGCTACACTCAGGTTCACATGTGTATAGTTTAACAAGGGTTCACTGATGGTCTCAGCTGCTACACTCAGGGTCACAGGTCTATAGTTTAACAAGGGTTCACTGATGGTCTCAGTTAGCTGCTACACTCAGGTTCACATGTCTATAGTTTAACAGGGTTCACTGATGGTCTCAGTTAGCTGCTACACTCAGGGTCACATGTCTATAGTTTAACAGGGTTCACTGATGATCTCAGTTAGCTACTACACTCAGGGTCACATGTCTATAGTTTAACAAGGGTTCACTGATGGTCTCATTTAGCTGCTACACTCAGGCTCACATGTGTATAGTTTAACAAGGGTTCACTGATGGTCTCAGTTAGCTGCTACACTCATTGTTCACATGTCTATAGTTTAACAAGGGTTCACTGATGGTCTCATTTAGCTGCTACACTCAGGTTCACATGTCTATAGTTTAACAAGGGTTCACTGATAATAATTGACTAAAATGAGGACAGCAGTGGAAAATAAGCTGAAATTGTCAGTGAAATTTGTACAAGAGACAAAACTGCAGATATAGAGAGCTTATTTTAGGAAAAAGAGAGAAGAGGAGGACCGAAATCATCATCAACATTTCTTTGCCATGTAAAGATAATCATGTTCCCTGACAACTGCCTGCATTCTGTGTCTGAGTGTTACTACCAGTGGTATTTCATGCTACTCTGTCAGTCTGTGTGATATTTCATGCTACCCTGTCAGTCTGTCCACTGTTTTTGTGTCATTTTCTATTACTGCTTTTATTACCTCTGATTCTTTCTAGTTAAATAACTTGCAATAATACCCACACACACACCCCCCATAAAGCCAGTTGTCTTGTCATGCTGATTGGACGTCTTAGGCATTCATTATATTTGTGAACTATTGATTGCACATCTAAGTTGATTGTGAAGAAATTAGCATTCTGTGAAGAAACCATAGCTTTGCAGCCTCTAGTTTCACAGAGTGAAAAGCTCAAGTCAACTGGCATGCAGTGACTCTCATTCAACAACTATCGGGAATAAAATTAATGAATAAAAAAAAAAAAAACCATGAATTAGCAGCCTCTAAAAGCCTTGCGTGAGTGCGCCCCCCCCCCCCCCCCCCCCACCCACCCCCTTTCCGGGTGTAGTGTCTTTAGACATGTTTGTGCAGGGATGTAATTGACAGGTGCCGTGATTGTAAGGCCTAGTGAAACAAGTTCGCTCACAGCCTGCCTGCCTTCCTGTTAGTCATGTTTTTTCATCTGTCTTCCTGGCTTGGGCTAGGTGTCTCATGTTGGGGAAACAAAGAAAAGACACCCCCCCCCCCCCCCAATAAAAATAAAGATTCCAGACAAATTCCTGAAGTCAGTAACATCTGCCAGTGGTTTCTGTTATTCCTAAAAAGAGTTACATAGAGATACTTGTGCCATGTATACAAGAGCACTTGTACTGTTAATTAGTAACATTCCAAAATGTTTGACAAGATTTTTGTTATTTTTGTGTTTTCTCTCTAGTCATTCCAGGTGTGTTCTCCAAATACCTCCGTTGTGTTGTCTTGGTATTGTAGCTCTTTCCCACAAGCATGTCATAAAAGTTGACTAATTAAAGATACAGTTTCCTTCAAAGTCAGTGTCTGTAAAACAGATGGGCACACAAAACTAGTGTTTAGGTACAATTTCAAAGTTCAGTGGTTAAACAGCCAGAACTTTCCACCAGAGTTCATCACTGGTGAGCACCAAAAAGAAGAAGAAAAACAAGATATAGATATTTCTTCTTTTTTTCATGTTCACCAGCTGTAAACTCTGGCGGAAAGCTCTGGTTGTTTATCTACTTTTGGACTGCAGTCCTGTTCCAGAACCTGAGTGTTGCGTGTGCATCCGTTTTACAGATCGGACACATTTGAGTGTAGACTGTTGGTTCCTTGCCTCTCAGGCAGATGCACTCCGACTTTAAAGGAAGCTCCTAGTTAGTTGCAGGCAGTGGGTCTATTCTTGTTTTCCCTATAATAGGGCCCTGGAACCCAAACGGGGTGTATATAGATATATGAACATGGTCATAAAATTTACATTGTGGAACATGATGATAGTTCGTATTGTAAGGGAAAAAAAAACACACACGCGCACACTCTCTCTCTCTCTCTCTCTCTCTCTCTCTCTCTCTCTCTCTCTCTCTCTCTCTCTCTCTCTCTCTCTCTCTCTCTCTCTCTCTCTCTCTCTCTCTCTCTCTCTCTCTCTCTCTCTCTCTCTCTCCTCTCTCTCTCTCTATCTTATCTAATCTAATCTAATCTAATCTAATCTAATCTAATCTAATCTAATCTAGATACTGAGTGGGAAAAACTACAAGAGTTAGAACTAAGATCTGAACATTATCACTTGGTTCACATTGTAGAGGAAAGGCACAAACTTGATTCATATAGCTTACACTAGATATTAGATCTGAATTTCACATTGTAGATCTTTACTTTGTAGATTTTGGATCTAAAAATGAATTCATTATTCACTGTTGTAGCATGTAACATTATTAATTTTGCTGCAGTATTAAACTGCTAATATTTGACTGTGACTTGATCCCTCTGTTGGTTACTAGAGTATTCTGATATTTGCCATGCAAGATCGTTGATTTGTTTCTAGTCAAGCCTAATGTTTGTTAAAGCGGCTCTGATTGCCTCCCAACTGGTTTGAGTAATCTTTATATGTATAGATATATATATATCTCTAGCCACTTGACATTTCAGATCTTTACATGAACGATCTGACCAGCCGGTGGTCGAGACTGACCAGAATCACTTCGTACTAGTCAAGGTACTGACAGCAGCATCATGTGGCTGTATATACTCACCCCCTGCCTGCCCATTGTGTGCCTTGTTGCCAGCACTGTTTGTTTTCTGTATCTGCTGCTGCATCTAATATCTTGGCTGCTCTATTTGTAACTGGTGTGCTTGCATGCTGCTCATTTCTGGCTGATTCAGTCTCCATTTTGTGGGGGAAGGGGGTCCTTCCATCTAGACCAGTGGAATTATGTTCTCAGGCATACTTGACTTGGGTCATATGGAACTTTTGCCCCAGTGTTTTAGTGGGATCTTTTTATCCAATGGAGATTGAATGCATAACTCTTTGAGTCCCAAGGAACGCATCATACATTCATAGGTTCCTGCCTGGAGGCCCAATGAACGCAAGATGCGCCAATTTTACATCTCTTTTGACTACCCCTTGGGCCTCTGATGCTAAACCCCCTGGGACTCAAAGAGTTAAGCATCAGAGGCAGGAGTGAGCTGCCTTGAATATGTGTTCATGATATAGGGATAATTATAGAATCGTACTGATACACTGTTAGTCTAGAGTTTGTAAGCCACACTGATACACTATTAGTCTACAGTTTGTATAGGGATAGGTATATAACCGCACTAATACACTGTTAGTCTAGAGTTTGTATAGCCGTACTGATACACTGTTAGTCTAGAGTTTGTATAGCCGTACTGATACACTGTTAGTCTAGAGTTTGTATAGCGTAACTGGTACACTGTTAGTCTAGAGTTTGTATAGGGATAGTTATAGAACCGTACTAATACACTGTTAGAGTTTGTATAGCCGTACTGATACACTGTTAGTCTAGAGTTTGTATAGCCGTACTGATACACTGTTAGTCTAGAGTTTGTATAGCCGTACTGATACACTGTTAGTCTAGAGTTTGTATAGCCGTACTGATACACTGTTAGTCTAGAGTTTGTATAGCCATACTGAAACACTGTTAGTCTAGAGTTTGTATAACCATACTGATACACTGTTAGTCGAGAGTTTGTATAACCGTACTGATACACTGTTAGTCTAGAGTTTGTATAGCCATACTGAAACACTGTTAGTCTAGAGTTTGTATAACCATACTGAAACACTGTTAGTCGAGAGTTTGTATAACGGTACTGATACACTGTTAGTCTAGAGTTTGTATAACCGTACTGATTCACTGTTAGTCTAGAGTTTGTATAACCATACTGATACACTGTTAGTCGAGAGTTTGTATAACCATACTGATACACTGTTAGTCTAGAGTTTATATAGAGATAGTTATAGAACCGTACTAATACACTGTTAGTCTAGAGTTTGTATAGCCGTACTGATACACTGTTAGTCTAGAGTTTGTATAGCGTAACTGGTACACTGTTAGTCTAGAGTTTGTATAACTGTACTGATACACTGTTAGTCTAGAGTTTGTATAACTGTACTGATACACTGTTAGTCTAGAGTTTGTATAGCGTAACTGATACACTGTTAGTCTAGAGTTTGTATAGCGTAACTGGTACACTGTTAGTCTAGAGTTTGTATAGCCGTACTGATACACTGTTAGTCTAGAGTTTGTATAGCGTAACTGGTACACTGTTAGTCTAGAGTTTGTATAACTGTACTGATACACTGTTAGTCTAGAGTTTGTATAACTGTACTGATACACTGTTAGTCTAGAGTTTGTATAGCCGTACTGATACTGTTAGTCTAGAGTTTGTATAGCTGTACTGATACTGTTAGTGTAGAGTTTGTATAGGGATAGTTATAGAACCGTACTGATACACTGTTAGTCTAGAGTTTGTCTAGGGATAGTTATAGAACAGTACTGATACATGTAGTCTAGAGTTTGTAAAGGGATAGTTATAGAACCGTACTGATACACTGTTAGTCTAGAGTTTAGAGATAGTTTTAGAACCGTACTGATACACTGTTAGTCTAGAGTATACAGGAATAGTTATAACGTGGTGGTGACATAGTGATATTATAGAGTTGATGTAAGGATAGTTATCTAGGGGTAATATAGAGATAATATAGGCACTGCTAGGGTAATAGTGTAGAGTTCATATAGGGATAGTTGTAGAGTTAGATAGTAATAGAACTGTATTATTAAAGTGGTATTGATAGTTATAGTGTAAACTAAGTGATACTGATATATTGATACCTATAGAAAATTTGTTATATCATAATAGTGATTGAATGGTAGTGGCATACACACATGAAGCATACACAAGGTAGCTCAACACCAGGGAATGCATGCTGGTGTATGTTCGTAGATTGTTTGCACATCTGCTCGAAAATATCTTGGTTTGGCTCATTTGCTTATTTGTTGGTTGTGGCTCTTGTTTGTTTATTTACGTGTGGATTGTGGCTCTCGCTATAGTTCATTCATTCATTCATTCATTTAGATGTGGTTGGTTTTATAACCCATTCAGTTACATAAGTGCCTGGGCTCTTGTTATAGACCATCTAAAATAGAGCATCTGCTGAAATATGACTTGGAGCTCCACTATTGTTAGATTTGCAACATTTGTTGACTAATGTTACAGTGTGTGGGCCAGTATAGTGTATTTTTACTCACTGTTTCCCAGAATGTGATTTAGTTTCACTTTAACCATATTGATATTTCAAAAATATGATTTAGTTTTATTTACTTTGTATCGGATTTTCTCTAAACGTGATTTTGTTTCACTAATACTTTATCTGTTAGATTCCCTAAACGGGATATGGTTTCATTCTTTATCTGTTAGATTTGCTAAATGGGATATGGTTTCATTCTTTATCTGTTAGATTTGCTAAATGGGATATGGTTTCATTCTTTATGTTAGATTTGCCAAATGGGATATGGTTTCAGGGATATGGTTTCATTCTTTATCTGTTAGATTTGCCAAATAGGATATGGTTTCATTCTTTATCTGTTAGATATCCCTAAACTGGATATGGTTCCATTCTTTATATGTTAGATTCCCTAAATGAGATATAGTTTCATTATTTATCTGTTAATTTCCTCAACATATGATTTAATTTTCACTGACCTCTTATCTGCTATATTTCCAAAATGTATTTCAGTTTTACTTACCCCATTCTGTTAGAATACCACAATCTACAGATTAGATGTTTGTTTTTCTTGAGATGGTCAGAGTGTGTTGTTTAGTTTCTCTCACTGCTTGTTTGTTGGAGTCTGTCACTTGTACCTAGGGATAGAGCACAGGTGCCAGCACAAGGCCATCATCAGTCGTATAGCAGGGTATAGAAGGGGAAGCAGCCAGCAGAAACCATACATTCAGTTGTAGACTAAGCTCATTGAAGAAGACATGGGGGCAAGGGCTCTTGAAGGGACCTAACAAGCTTCATCTCATATATCTGGGTACAGTCTGCCCCAGATCAAGAAGTCTCACATTGAGTATTTATACTGAGTCTCTGGGGTTTGTTGCATAACTCTCACTGTAGCAACTGCTGGATAACATTTAGTCCTTTAACACTGCTTTCTTCTGAATAGACTGTTGGTTGTTTTGTGTCAGTTTGTCTGTTTCCTACCGGTGGGACATGTTGTGACACAAGACTTGCTTGGGCTGTGTTGGCTTCCCTGTTTGGTCTCTTCTCTCTCTTGGTGCAGACTGTGCAGTGGAACAGCTTGCTTCAGTGATCACCCCCTTGCAGCTGAAGTAGGCTCAGTGTGATCTGCTGGTCCTGATACAGACAAGCCTTCCCCTGCTCACATGATCCCTCTTTGTTGCAGCATCTTCTGTCCTGTTCTTTGCTTCAATTATTCAGTGGCAGACAGCAAGGGGAACTGTGAAGATAACCATATAGGCATGCACAATCTGCTCACTGAGGTCGGGCTCAATGTTTTGTGCCCTTACTGGAGCCACAATGTGACAGTCTTCAGTACTTCACGCGCACACACACATGCACAGTTTTATTCTCTCCCCAGCACACATAAAATAAGCATGTCCCATTGACTGTCATGTGCCACATTTAATTCTTCTGTTTGATTCTGTACTACTTTGCTTTTTTCCAGCTAATTTGTCTTGTCTGTGTCTCCATGTTTTGTCACAACTAATTCCTTTTTTGTAGTATTTCACACTGTTGGTGTAGCTGCACTTGAGTTTCTTGTCTTGAGTCTTGAGTTCTTATAATTAATACTTATGATATTCTTGTAATTACCTACTATTGCTTGTCCTCCTATGATCATGTGGATTTTTCAACTAATTCCCATGATGTACTGTTGTTACACACTGCTTTGCCTATGGCTACACATAATTGTCTTGTCCCGTACATGCATATTGCTTCATAGCTAAATCGTTTTATGTCTTTCGCACCCTCTAATATATTGCTTTGTTTGTCATCGTAATGTTTGATTTCTTGATACCAGAAGAATGAGCAGTTAATTCCCATGCTTGTCTGTGTTGATATCTGTGTGTATGTTGCTTGCTTATGTTGCATGTCAGGATATTCTTTTCTAGAAATTTGTTGTGTGGTAATGGCTGTACTGGTGTGCTGACTGTACTTGTGTGGTACTGGCAGTATTGGTGTGGTAATGGCTGTACTGGTGTGGTACTGACTGTACTTGTGTGGTACTGACTGTACTTGTGTGGACTAGTGTGGTACTGACTGTACTGGTGTGGCACTGGCTGTGCTGGTGTGGTGCTGACTGTACCGGTGTGGTACTGGCAGTATTGGTGTGGTAATGACCGTACTGGTGTGGTACTGACTGTACTTGTGTGGACTAGTGTGGTACTGACTGTACTGGTGTGGCACTGGCTGTGCTGGTGTGGTGCTGACTGTACCGGTGTGGTACTGGCAGTATTGGTGTGGTAATGACCATACTGGTGTGGTACTGACTGTACTTGTGTGGACTAGTGTGGCACTGACTGTACTGGTGTGGCACTGACTGTACTGGTGTGGCACTGGTGTGGCACTGACTATATTATATATATAAAACAGCATACATGTCATTGGTCAGTGTTAACTAGTACCGCAGACATAAAATGTGTTTTTACACCTAGATTGATTGACTCAGGGAGAAACAAATGACCAGGTTAGATACAGTATCATTACTTTGCATTTGGTTACTGTTGCATATACTTAAATGGAATTTAAGTTAAGAACTGACATCATTGTACTTGAGACATTCCCGTAAGTGTTCTGCCCCATCTTCAGCAGCCAGTGCAGAGTTCTATTTCTGATGGTACCATTATCAGCCTTGTAACACTGCTGTCATTGTGAGGTTCAGTGTGTCAGGTTTAACACTGCTGTCATTGTGAGGTTCAGTATTTCAGGTTTGTCACTACTGCCATTGTGAGGCTCAGTATGTCAGGTTTAACACTGTTGTCATTGTGAGCTTCAGTGTGTCAGGTTTAACATTGTTATCATGAGATTTAGTGTGTCAGGTTTAACACTGCTGTCATCATGTGCTGTCATTATGAGGCTTAGTGTGTCAGGTTTATCACTGCTGCCATCGTAAGGTTCAGTATGTCATGTTTAACATTGTTGTCATCATGAGGTTCTGTGTATATCAGGTTTAACATTGTTGTCATCATGAGATTTTGTGTGTATCAAGTTTAACACAGTTGTCATCATGAGGCATAGTGTGTCAGGTTTAACATTTTTGTCGTCATGAGGTTCTGTGTGTCAGGTTTAACATTGTTGTCATCATGAGGTTCGATGTGTCAGGTTTAACATTGTTGTCATCATGAGGTTCTGTGTATCAGGTTTAACATTGCTACCATAATGAGGTTCAGTGTGTCAGGTTTTACACTGTTGTCATCATGGTGGTTCAGTGTGTCAGGTTTAACATTGTTGTCATCATGAGGTTCCATGTGTCAGGTTTAACATTGCTATCATCATGAGGTTCCGTGTGTGAGGTTTAACATTGTTGCCATCATGAGATTCAGTGTCAGGTTTAACATTGTTGTGATCATAAGATTCTGTGTGTCTGGTTTAACATTGTTGTCATCATGAGGTTCTGTGTCAGATTTAACATTGTTGTCATCATGAGGTTCAGTGTGTCAGGTTTAACATTGTTGTCATCATGAGGTACCGTGTGTTAGGTTTAACATTGTTGTCATCATGATTCTCCGTGTGTCAGGTTTAACATTGTTGTCATGAGGCTCAGTGTGTCAGGTTTAACATTGTTGTCATCATGAGATTCAGTGTGTCAGGTTTAACATTGTTGTCATCATGAGGTTCAGTGTGTCAGGTTTAACATTGTTGTCATCATGAGATTCAGTGTGTCAGGTTTAACATTGTTGTCATCATAAGGTTCAGTGTGTCAGGTTTAACATTGCTGCTGTCATGAGGTTCAGTGTGTCAGGTTTAACATTGCTGTCATCATCATGATATATGTGTCAGGTTTACATTCATTATCAAAATGAGTATAGACAGTCAGTTTTTTCCCTCTTAATATTATATGTAAGTTTGTGAGATACTTTTAATATTTCTTGTAACAGGACAAGATATACAGAAGATTAGGTCGTATTTCATGGAAACAAAAGCTATCAAATACAGAGGTACTGAGGAAATTAGGAATGAAAAGAGAGTTGCTAGGTGAAATAAAAAAGAGACAAGTGAAATATTTTGGCCACATTAAAAGACATAACAGTATTTTTAAGATCATCCTAGAGGGAAAGGTTCAAGGTAGGCGAGCAAAAGGCAGACAGCGTTACAAGTGGGAGGACGAACAGCAGTATGAGTGAGTGTACATCAAGGGCAAGAGACAGGGCTTGTTGGAGATCCATTGCAGCCAACCTTCATTGTGGAGACGGCACCTGATTGGTTGATTGAACAGGACAAGATAATTATGGGTAGAACATGTATGTTGTGAAGTTATTGGTTAAGCTGTTAGTAACATAGCCTTTATTGTTATTTTCATGTTATTGATCACAACTAATTGTTGGAAATTTTATTTTTATCAGGCGAAAGAAGAAGTGCATCCGTTATAAGTATGGCAGTGGAGAGGATGAAATGGAACAGTTTGAGGATTCTTTGCTGAGGGACCAAAGTATGGACTCTTCATTTCTGTCCGGTTGTGAGTCTGATTCTACAAACCCAGTGACCAGTCCAGTACCTGAGAAGTATGGACCACAATTAACATGTCTTTCAGATGGCGACGACAGAGCTGTGATGAACTCTGCTTACTGTGCTGTTGTCAGCAACCAGGCTGTGATGAGCTCCCAGTTTCCTCTCATCCATCTGAACTCTGTGACCAGGGAGAGAGAGAACAAGTTATTTCAACATTTGCCTTACAGTTTGATGAGTTCCAGGCCACCGACATCTTCACAAGTACCAGCACTAAGACACTTCACCAATCACTCCGTGGACCAGTTTTTGTTTCAGCCACCCCCACTCTGCTTGCCATATCACCTTCGACCTCCTCCTCCACTGGCCCTGCCAGTGTCTTACATTGGGTACCCGTTCCCTCGTCAGCCCGAGTCCTCTGAAGAGGAGCAGCTACCTGATAGATTGCCTATATCTCTTAGCATGAAGCCAGCCTTTGAATAACAAGTTCCGGATGAGTTCTGTAGCCACACTGTAGCAGCAGGAGAGTTTTTTATCAATATTGAATCTTTGAATTGTGTTCCGGGGGCTAGCACTACAGACTTGATCTAGAGTCTCATCTCTCCTCAGTATCACCTGGTAAACATTAGCATAGTTGAGTAGTGTAGCCCAGTCGGAGGATTTACCTCACATGGGGAACGGTTGATTCATTCTTCTTCTTGACTTAAACTAGTCTTTGAGTGGACCCAGCAACCACATGGTCTGGACATTTGCAGGGGGAGACCAGTGGGCTGATGTCTGGGTTTACCTCACCAGATAAACAAGATTGTTGCCCCTTAACAGTAAATCATTAATGTGATGAAATTGGGATGACTGCAGCCAAGCTGGTATACATGAATTCACTGAACACAAACATGAATACAAGACTTAGCTAGAGAGACAGAAGAAACAGGACAATAATTATTGCTTTTCCTGTACTTGTGCTACTTGCCCTTAGTGAGATTCTCATTTATAGTTTTTGTTCAATGAATTTGAGTAAACCTATGATTACTGTTTCATTTCAGAATTTTGAGAAGGTGTGAGACTTTGAAATTTGCTCTTCTGGCAGCTCAGCAACATCATGTTGTACTGTTTGGAGAACCATCAGCATCATGTTGTACTGTTTAGAGAACTAGCAGCATCATGTTGTACTGTTTAGAGAACCATCAGCATCATGTTGTACTGTTTAGAGAACCATCAACATCATGTTGTACTGTTTAGAGAACTATCAGCATCATGTTGTACTGTTTAGAGAACCATCAGCATCATGTTGTACTGTTTAGAGAACTAGCAACATCATGTTGTACTGTTTAGAGAACTAGCAACATCATGTTGTACTGTTTAGAGAACCATCAACATCATGTTGTACTGTTTAGAGAACCATCAGCATCATGTTGTACTGTTTAGAGAACTAGCAACATCATGTTGTACTGTTTAGAGAACTAGCAACATCATGTTGTACTGTTTAGAGAACCATCAACATCATGTTGTACTGTTTAGAGAACCATCAGCATCATGTTGTACTGTTTAGAGAACTATCAGCATCATGTTGTACTGTTTAGAGAACCATCAGCATCATGTTGTACTGTTTAGAGAACCATCAGCATCATGTTGTACTGTTTAGAGAACTATCAGCATCATGTTGTACTGTTTAGAGAACCATCAGCATCATGTTGTACTGTTTAGAGAACCATCAGCATCATGTTGTACTGTTTGGAGAACTATCAGCATCATGTTGTACTGTTTAGAGAACCATCAGCATCATGTTTTACTGTTTAGAGAACTATCAGCATCATGTTGTACTGTTTAGAGAACCATCAGCATCATGTTGTACTGTTTAGAGAACCATCAGCATCATGTTGTACTGTTTAGAGAACCATCAACATCATGTTGTACTGTTTAGAGAACCATCAGCATCATGTTGTACTGTTTAGAGAACCATCAGCATCATGTTGTACTGTTTAGAGAACCAGCAACATCATGTTGTACTGTTTAGAGAACCATCAGCATCATGTTGTACTGTTTAGAGAACCATCAACATCATGTTGTACTGTTTAGAGAACCATCAGCATCATGTTGTACTGTTTAGAGAACCATCAGCATCATGTTGTACTGTTTAGAGAACCAGCAACATCATGTTGTACTGTTTAGAGAACCATCAGCATCAAGTTGTACCGTTTAGAGAACTATCAGCATCATGTTGTACTGTTTAGAGAACTATCAGCATCATGTTGTATTGTTTAGAGAACCATCAGCATCATGTTGTACTGTTTAGAGAACTATCAGCATCATGTTGTACTGTTTAGAGAACCATCAGCATCATGTTGTACTGTTTAGAGAACTAGCAACATTTTGTTCTACTGTTTACAGAACCTTCAGCATAATCGGGGCTTTTACTGGTCTGTTTGTTCACGTATGCAGAAACTTCATAATTTGCTAACAAGGCCCCAGTCTATTTAACTTACCAGAATATCTGATTCCAGACTGTTTTACAGCACACAGATTTGCTTAGAAGGAGAGGTTTATGTCTGCACACAGATTTGCTTAGAAGGAGAGGTTTATGTCTGCACACAGATTTGCTTAGAAGGAGAGGTTTATGTCTGCACACAGATTTGCTTAGAAGGAGAGGTTTATGTCAGCACACAGATTTGCTTAGAAGGAGAGGTTTATGTCAGCACACAGATTTGCTTAGAAGGAGAGGTTTATGTCTGCACACAGATTTGCTTAGAAGGAGAGGTTTATGTCTGCACACAGATTTGCTTAGAAGGAGAGGTTTATGTCAGCACACAGATTTGCTTAGAAGGAGAGGTTTATGTCTGCACACAGATTTGCTTAGAAGGAGAGGTTTATGTCAGCACACAGATTTGCTTAGAAGGAGAGGTTTATGTCTGCACACAGATTTGCTTAGAAGGAGAGGTTTATGTCTGCACACAGATTTGCTTAGAAGGAGAGGTTTATGTCTGCACACAGAGATTTGCTTAGAAGGAGAGGTTTATGTCTGCACACAGATTTGCTTAGAAGGAGAGGTTTATGTCTGCACACAGATTTGCTTAGAAGGAGAGGTTTTGTATGTCTGCACACAGATTTTGTACTGCACAGAGAGGAGAGAGTTTTATGTCTGCACACAGATTTGCTTAGAAGGAGAGGTTTATGTCTGCACACAGATTTGCTTAGAAGGAGAGGTTTATGTCTGCACACAGATTTGCTTAGAAGGAGAGGTTTATGTCTTTGCTTAGAAGCACACAGATTTGCTTAGGAAGGAGAGGTTTATGTCAGCACACAGATTTGCTTAGAAGGAGAGGTTTATGTCTGCACACAGATTTGCTTAGAAGGAGAGGTTTATGTCTGCACACAGATTTGGTTTAGAAGGAGATTTTTATGTTTGCACACAGATTTGCTTAGAAGGAGAGGTTTATGTCTGCACACAGATTTTGCTTAGAAGGAGAGTCTATGTCTGCAACATGTTTGCTTATCAGAAGATGTCTGCACACAGATTTGCTTAGAAGGAGAGGTTTATGTCTGCACACAGATTTGCTTAGAAGGAGAGGTTTATGTCTGCACACAGATTTGCTTAGAAGGAGAGGTTTATGTCTGCACACAGATTTGCTTAGAAGGAGAGGTTTATGTCTGCACACAGATTTGCTTAGAAGGAGAGGTTTATGTCTGCACACAGATTTGCTTAGAAGGAGAGGTTTATGTCTGCACACAGATTTGCTTAGAAGGAGAGGTTTATGTCTGCACACAGATTTGCTTAGAAGGAGAGGTTTATGTCTGCACACAGATTTGCTTAGAAGGAGAGGTTTATGTCTGCACACAGATTTGCTTAGAAGGAGAGGTTTATGTCTGCACACAGATTTGCTTAGAAGGAGAGGTTTATGTCTGCACACAGATTTGCTTAGAAGGAGAGGTTTATGTCAGCACACAGATTTGCTTAGAAGGAGAGGTTTATGTCTGCACACAGATTTGCTTAGAAGGAGAGGTTTATGTCTGCACACAGATTTGCTTAGAAGGAGAGGTTTATGTCTGCACACAGATTTGCTTAGAAGGAGAGGTTTATGTCTGCACACAGATTTGCTTAGAAGGAGAGGTTTATGTCTGCACACAGATTTGCTTAGAAGGAGAGGTTTATGTCTGCACACAGATTTGCTTAGAAGGAGAGGTTTATGTCTGCACACAGATTTGCTTAGAAGAATATCTGATTCCAGACTGTTTTAGAAGGAGAGGTTTATGTCTGCACACAGATTTGCTTAGAAGGAGAGGTTTATGTCTGCACATAGTTAGACACAAAGGAAAGTCTTTGACCATGGATAGATGAATATGAGCGTAACATTATATTTCTGATGGACTTTTGGTGTAAAAAGGGTCCTGTACGTTCAGCTGCTTTACGGCACTTGTTTATGATGTGGCGGATGGTGTTGTCTTTTATATGTATACGTTGTATACCTGCTACAGAATTGAAAGATGTACAACTGTACATACAGACAGGTAAAATATGTTCAAACTGGTTATTTACACAAACTGTGATGCTGTTTTATGAACTTAAGGGGCAGATTATGTATTAATTCTACATAAGTGTCACAGATAAGGCAATAACTGATTCACAGACCAGTCTTAGCTTGTGGGCCATAGTTTGCCTCCCCCGGTATATACTCATAGGTCACGATTTGAATGAGTTTTACAGGTGAAAACATGTACATATCCTTCATAGACTACACAAAATGCATGACTGTGAAGCATAATGACATAATCAGACTTTTAAAACAAATTAAATGTTAATGTCAAAATCTGTAAATAATAAAGAATGTGTATTGGCAGCAAAAACAGCGTTAAGATTGAACAACCATTGAGGAAACCGAAGGCTCGGACAAAGATGACTGCTGTCCCCCTTTATATATGTTAATATTGT